TCTTAAAGATTTTTAAAAATACAATATTTAAATTTAATACTTGTATCAAAGCTTACACTAATCTAATAATGGGATTGAGGGCGAGACCGTGCTAAAAAGATTAGTGCAAATTTATATCTGCACGGGGGAAAGTTTTTTTTTTTTTTATTTGGTTTTTTTTTTTTTTTTTTTTTTTTTTTTGGTGGTGGGTTGGTTTCTTTTGTAAAATAGGGTAATTCAGCGAGGTACTATGTGGCTCATGTTGACTGTGCTTTTTGATTTTGACCATTCTGTGGAAAGGAATAAAATACAGACATTACTGCAGTATCACCTGCTTGAGAGATTTATTTGCCTTTAAATTTTATCTTCACTTTTCATAGGAATGACCTTTGTAAATTTTTCTTAAAAGTGGAACCAATGAGAAGGGAAAAATAGGAGGAGACACAAGGAAATACTCTTCTCCCACCTGTGCTTAATTTGTGTTGCATATAACCAGTATTTAGTCCTCACAGACTGAGAATGTATTATGCGTATGTGCTCAATGCAGCAGAAGAAACAGGCACCCTGTGTAGTTAATAACGATGAGATTTTTCTTTCTGGTTTTCTAGTATTAAGTTTTTGTTCCTATGTAATGCTTTTCCTTGGAATAGCCTGCTTTGCTCTTTTATTATTTTTTTTTTTTTTTTTTTTAGTGGGAAATGAATATTTCCTAAGGTATAATCATAGTTTGGGCTGGAAGGGACCGTCAAAGGTCATGTAGTACAACTCCCCTGAAATGAGCAGGGACATTAAATGTTTTTTGATAAAATCTTTTTAATTGGTTGATTTGATTGTGAGCTGTGGCATCCTGACCTTTGGGACTTGCTTCATTTCATTTGCAGGGGACACAAGAGCCTTTGAGACCCATCAGCCATAAAAATGGCATTGATGTGGCTTGAGAATTACCTTTAATACAGTAACAAAATCAACTGCAGAACAAAAGAAGCAAAAGATTGTGGGTCATTATACTGGAGAGCTTCCAGTGTAGCTATCGCAGGGACAGAGCACTCCAAATAAGTTCCTGTGAACTGCTAAGTGTGGTCCCTTGGACTGCTTCTGCTAGGTGGTTCTGGTTGGCCTTGAGCCCAGCACAAAGTTCTAGGTTATCTTTCTAGCCGGTATGTTCATCCCATATATGTTTGCATGTGCTACTATATATATTGCCTGATAAATGCATATGTGCACGCACACACTAGTGCATTCACCTGTGGATAATAGCTGGTAATTCATGGTAATTGTGCACTTCATGTGAGAGATGTAGGTTAAATAAAGTTTGTGCCAGTTGTACAAGATAATATGTCAGTCCATAAATAGCTGTAGCAGAAATTACAGCAAAAACTTAGTATGTCAGTACATAGAAGAAATTATACATTTCTGAAGAGGCTCGAGTATAAGTGAAATAGTTGTTTTAGAGATGCTGTGCTGTATAAGAGGTCAAGACCTCTGCTCATTTGGTTTTCTTCTACTGAGAGTAGTGATTTGCCAGTACCGTTCTGTTTTTGAGTTGTGTATTTCAGGCTTTCACTTCAGAAATAAATTAGAACAGAAATAAATTAGAATAGTTAATGTAATTCTGTACTACTTTGTTAAAACCAGTATGGTTTTAAAGCACTATTATTGTCAAAATATCTGTTCATCTTTTCCGAAGAAGTATTAGAAACAAGAGCTGACATCTGATTAAAAGAATAGGTAGAAATTGTTTGGAAACAGAGTATTGTATGCAAAATTACATTTATTTTCACAGGCCTCATACGTCTTTCACTTCCTAATTTCATGCTTATTTTGCTGTGTTAGCTGCTTGTGAAATCCATGTTCATGCAGCTTGAACTAGTTCGATCTTGTTTATTTGTGTATCAGAAGAACAAATCATTGTTTAATAAACATTCCAAGAGCGTGATAATGTCAACACTGCCTGCTTGTCCCCTTGTGCAAAGACAACTTTCTTGTAAATATGTCAGGGCATTCTTAAGGTGAAAGGTTTTTATGGCTTTTTAAATAAGACTTGGAGGCTCTGCTCACTTTAAAAAGACATTGAGATTTTATTAATTATTTACTTTAATTATTAGGAATTCTTTCCTAGTTGAAGTGTATGGTAACATTTTGTGCCCCCTTTCCCAAATCCCCCAAGGGCTGGGTAATGTAGACACAAGTATGGATACAAGAAATGCTTATATTCTGAAATTGCTTCTTGCCCTACACGTTATGGAGCACTTGAATTACCTTTTGCCTTAGTTTGCATAGCTTCTGTCAAAATGAAAACGAGTGACATATGACCAATTGTGGACAAGTTGTGCAGTGAAAAGATAAAGTTGACTGACAGGCAGAATTAATTTTTTTTGTATCTAAGAGACATTAGGATATAGAAAGTATCCTTGTTTCTGAGTGCTGACTTCCATTATACTATGCTAAAATACCACATATGATTTTCTGAGCTGGAAAAAAATTTAAAATGTATAACTACTCCAGCAATTGGTTTTGTGCTCTTGTTTTTGAGAAATGTTTTTATAGGATACAATTGCTTAGAAACTTCATTCAGAACTGGAGTTTGGGTTCCAGAGAGAGTGTATAAAAATGTGACTTCTCTGCGCAGAGACAGTCTAATAGATGAGTTGCAGTTGGGGACAGTAGAGAACCAAAGGAAGGAGGCCTTAGAAGGAGGGGAACACTCAAGCTTCCCTCCTTAAGTGTCTGGTCAGTGAGAGGTGTAATGGGATTGGAATGATAGGCAACAGTAGAAAAAGGAGCTTTTTGCAGTTTCACATGCCAGACAGCCTAGTTACCTTCTATTTGGACACTTCTTTTCTTTGAAATACATAGCTTCCTTCCCCTCTGGATCCCTTGCTGTTTGTGTTTGAAATGGTAGTTCTCCTGCAGGCACACGTTGACTAAACCTCAGAAATAACCTCCAAGTCGTCATCCTTCTGCTTGGCTCTTTGAGACTGCATTTTTTTTGTTGTGGGGTGTTTTTTTTTTTTTTTCCCCCCCTTTATTTCTCTCCCCTTTGTTTCTTCCCTTTTTTACCTCTTTGGGGACAGATCATCTCTACAGTTTTAAGTGCTAGTCAGTGGTTTTGCAGTTTATTGAGGATTGGGAAATCAATGTGACGAAGGGTGATGTTTTTTACAAGTAATGTTGAGAATTACCAGAAAGAGAGGATGGAAAGACTGTATGTTTTTTTTCCAGGATAAGATTTTATAAGGGCACTCCTTTTGTCCCTACCCTGGTCCAGATTCTTACAAGTGTATTTATAATTGTTAGAACTGAGAGCTGCTAGGATGAGAATATATTCCCCAACTTTTCTTCAGAAAGTTTATCCCCAATTTGACAACCTTCTCCTTTTGTAAACACACAGCATATGAAATTGGGCAAGAAATAAGTATTAAACATAAAATAATAGCCATGTTTAAGCATAGTAAAAGGAAGAAGAAACTATGTAGCTCTTGGTCAAGAGTTTGTAGGGACATTTTTAGGAAACAGCAAGTCTAGAATGTTTGCATACCTCTGAGCTACTGCTGTCCAGCACAGCCTGGGTTAGCAGGAGACAGCCTTAGTTCTGATATACCAGTTCCTAAAGACTCCGATGTGTAGTGTTTGATCAGTACTTCAGAGTTCTTCCAGTGCAAAATGCCAAGTGTTCTCAGAACTTTTTTATATGTTGAAACTGGTTGAGTTCTTGATCGCATTAGAATTGTTAGCTTTTGAGCTTCAGGATCACTGCTAACAGTGTGTATTACTTTATATGCTAGCTCTTGCTCACTGTGGTGGAAATACTGTAGTGTTGTGACACTGTGTGCTCTCAGGCTTGCCTGTAAATTTAGAAGTGGAGAGAACCTGATGAGAGAAATTAAGTAAGTCTAAAGTTCTGATGAGGCCTACAGGGGTATACAGAAGAGCAGGTGGGCTTCATACAGTCTTTGGCACTTCGGTCTTTTAAAGACATTTTTAATAAAGCCAAGTTATCTCTTTAAATTGAAGCACTTTTTTTTTTCTTTTTTTTTTCTTTTTTTGAGATGGTTTTTAACTAAAGAAAAAAACGTTCTGTGAAGAACAGGTCCAAAGTTCCTGTCATTGTGATACTAAAATAATCACTTTAACATTTGAACAAAAAATAGTACTCAATCTCCTCTTTTCCAATTAGTTTTAAATTTAGCTTGCTTTGGAACCTGCAGTTAAGATGTCAATTTGTAATAAAAGCTGTTCTTTTGACAGGAGGAATGACACTGCTTGAACCACTTCTTGAAGCTGAAGAGGGGTCAGGATAGGAATGGGCTCAAAAACCTGACTGATAGTAAATGGTTATTAAACCATTAATTAAATTAATGGTTATAATTAATAAAATGGTTAATAAATGCATTAATAAATAATAAGGTTATATTCTGTCTGCAAAAGCATTATAGACTACATTTCCAATTATCAGTTTATTTTAAGGGTCGCTGGTGTTCTGCTGGTTGGAAAAAAATAACTGAATATTGGCTGAGAATGGTAGTCAGAGTGATCTGGGTAAGACTGTTTTGTGAAATGTCTCTGAACCTTTTTGTGTGGAAAATTGTCTTTGGACCAATATCTACATGGTCTTTATTTAATTTATTTATTTTAGTGTATGTAATGGTATGATAGTCTAGGTCAGGCTTGGTAGAAGTACTCTTACACATGAAAGCATCATCATCAGATTTCAGTTCTGCAACTCTAGCATTCCATTTTACTGCCTTTTTTCAAGTCAGAAGTATTTTTAGTTAATATGCTAGAAATGGTAGGGTTAGTTGTAAGGCGCAATCATTTATGTCAGTAAACAGGAATCTTCCATCTGCAGTTCTTACGAGACTGTTCTGCTCTTCAATCTTTTGGCTACCAAAAATGGCATTTTTGGCCCTTTTATCATTCTCTCACTTTGGGATACGTAGACTATGCCTTTTCATACTTCACCAGTAAGCTGTAAGTAGCTAAAGTTTTACTTAATTCTCATATTTCTTTTTTAGGCATATGCATCAGGATGTGATATTGTGGTACTGGGGACTGACTTTGAAAGATTACAGATAATCCCTGGTGCAAAACATGGAAACATTCAAGTGGGATGTGTGGACTGTTCAGTGCAACAGGGGAAGGTACGTAGAGTGTTTCTAATAATGTTCTAGCAGTGTCGTGTTAAGCACCTCCTCAAGAATGTGGGTACTTGCAAGTTAAGGCAAATACACAGGAGTGAACCGTGAAATGGCTGATTGCTTCATGTCTTTGTTTGTGGTAAGCAGCACAGTGAATGTGAAATAGTAAGCATGGATAATGAGATTGTAGAAGATACATAGGGCTGTACAGGAAGATAGAGATGTGCACAGGGCTGCAAAGAGGAGATTGCAAGAATTTGACTAAAAGACGAGTAAGGTGGAAGCAAAAGTAATTTTTTCACTAGAGCTTCGTACTACTGGGTGTATCATTGATGTGTTTTGACATGTTAGTGGCTGGCAGTAGAGAGTGCTTCCACAAAGATCACTTCTAGATTATCCAGAAAACTGACATCCTTTTCAAGCAATTAATAAAGGCTCTAAAATTGCTCTTAGGGTTTTGCTTCCTTGATTTCTCAGCTTTTCTTTTTCTTATGTAGGTAAACTGGATCAGAAATGTTGTATTTTAGATGCTATTAGGCTTCAAGTCCTTTTTACAGAAATCTTTCGCTATAGTTCTGTCACAGTAAAAAATATATAACCAGGTAACTCTCCATTAGGTTGTTACAGTGTGATTAAGCTATTTTATTCAGTAGAAACTGTGTGTGGGTACACAAGAGGGGCCTTTTTTTTGTTTTAACTTTGTTGCTTTCTTTAAGCCAGTGCTAGTGGGAGATCATATGAGCCCTCCGGCACATGGCTACACACCTTAGGAGTTAATGAGAGCTTTGATTGGATTCTGGTGTCCATCTTGAGACAAGACCTCTGCATGGAAACTTATTCATGGTTACATGTGAAGTCTGTGATAATGATCCTCAGCCACTCTATGTTCCTTCATTTTAATGTTTGAGTGGTGAACTCTTGCAGTGATAGTGAAGAATGTAAATGAAAATGACGAAATGTTCTCCTCTATGTTTCTGGTACCTCTTAGCCATAATGACTGTGTGTCTTTTCCATTGGTGGCTGTTAACTGGAAAGCGTTTGTTGTTTTTTTTTTTTAATTCACTTACTGGCTGTATATTAACATATGGTGACGTGCACATACAAGTCATGTTAATCTTTTAAAATTTTTCTGCAAATTTGCGAGGTCATCTTGACTGCACAATACCAGTTCTGAATGTATTTATATGTCAAACTGTCCGTGAGCTGTAAACACATCGAAATATATCAAACTATAAGGATTACTAAACTTCAGATTTTTTTAGTTTCTTAAGTAGACCTGGGGGTCATTTTGATTCTGCAAGTTAATATTGTTTGCTGTTAGCAATTAGACTAGATGTATTTGCAGAGCGATGAAAATAGTAATCAGTGAATGTCTAGGAATCTACTTACTGACTGGATTGATCAATACATTTCCAGTGCACTGCTGCAAGGGTGGAATTTCTTCTTGCAGCTTCTTCATCAGTTTTGACACAGATTTCTCTTCATTTTATATTCAGATTGTTCTTTTTTGTTCAAAATCTACAGGAAGAAGCAGAATAAGATGCAAATAATGCATCTTATTTAGGTTGCGATTTTGAATCTTTCTGGAAAGTATCCAGTTATCGTTTCTAGTTTATGAATTATGTACTTTTTTTAATTTTTACATTTAAATTTTACATTTATGCTTTCAAGAATTTTTCCCATAATAGCTGGCCTTGTTCTCTTTGAAGACTCTTCCATCATTCTCCCTTTGGATGACAGAATTGGTTTGTAAGAGTTTTTTTTCTAGTAATGGAAGTAAAACATTTAATTTTTTCTTCATTCTTGCCCCCTAAATCTAATTCTAGTTTATTGGGAAGCTACTTTGAAGTAGCAGCAGCTTAGAAGTTCATGTATGACCCATCTCTCCCTTGGCTTTGAAGGGTGGGGGCACATGGCACAGGCTTTCTTCTTCCTAGTGTGTTTTTTGAGATAAACTTAATTCTCTGTTTCCAAAAATGATATGAGGTGGAAAAAATGGATGAAAACTTTTAATCATCCCAGTTACGCATGTATTTATATTTATATTTACATGTGTTTATATGTGTATGCATATGAACTTTTTAAAAAAGTGTCCCATAGATTTGCAAGGACTAGTTTCACAAACAGGTTAATTTAATCTCAGGACACTGAATCCAGTCTCTTGCTTCTGGTTGTAAGCAGCTTGGTAATGAAAACTTCTTTGCAAGTGGGTACAGTACTTGAAGTCCTCCCACAGAGTGTAAGCTACAAGCCTCTTTGTGCTTCCTCCAGTGAAAGTAAGAATTAAGGTCAAAACTTTTAATCATAACCTGACGAAACTTTAATTGTTTTCACAGTTTAGCTTGTAGAAATAGCTAATAGGGTGCAAGAAGATGGTCCTTCAGATAATTTGAAATTTTTAATAAAAGTTGATTGTGTAATGGCTGGTGACAGCAGTGTTAAAATGTATATAAAGCGTTTTCTTTATGGAACAACCTATTTTACTGATGTCAAAGAAAAATGTAGGTACTGATTAAAAACTTTGTTTAGTTTACATGCTAATGGGATACCTGTATAAAGTTGGTAGGTAAAATCAGTAAGCTTGCTAAATAAGATATTTTTAAGTAAGACTTTTTTTTCTCATAAGTAGGACTACTTGAGTATGAAAGCTCAGTTTTGAATCCAGGGTCTAAAATTTCATGAACTATACTACAGGGGAATTTTTTTTTTTTTGTGGGTTTGTGGGGTTTTTGTTCGTTTTTTTTTGGGTTGTCTTTGTTGCGTATATGTGTTTGTTGTTGTTGTTTTGCTGTATTTTGTTTTTTTAGTAGACAGGCTGTATGTTCTTCTCAGAGGAACTGTGATTGTTTGATTTTCCACTGTTCAGTAGTGAGTAATAATGTAACTTAGTAGAGTTACAGACATTTTGATGAATGAGAAATTTTGAGGGCTTCTGCTCAGTTTTGAGGCCTGGTGGGGGAAAACATAAGTGTATCAAGAAACTATTTGGATTATACTAAAACTTAAAGAAATGAGAACCTGAAGCTGCTAGTTATATTCCTGGTTTGGACGAAGTGGTGACAGTGGACAAGGTTATTGTCCCTAGAACTCATAGTTTATTCTTGTACACTGGTGCAAGAATTAGTCATTAAATGGTTTGAGTTGGAAGGGACCTTTAAAGATCATCTAGTCTCACCCTACCCTAAATTGTGTTCCTTAAAGCCCCATCTGACCCGACCTCTAACGCTTCCACAGATGGGGCAGTCACAGCTTCACTGTGCAACCTGTTGCAGTGCCTCGCCATCCTCATCATAAAAAAATTTATTACTTTGATTAGAAGCAGATCTAAATCTACTCTCTTTTAGTTTGGAACCATTACTCCTTGTCCTATCACTACAGGCCTTGTTAAAAAGTCTCTTTCTATATTTCTTTTAAGTCTCTCTAAGTATTGAAAGGCTGCATAACATCTCCAAAGAGCCTTCTCCAGGTTGAACAACCACAACTTTCTCAGCCACTTTTAATAGGAGAGGTGTTCCAGCCCTCTGTCCATCTTTGTGGAACCTCCTCTTGACCTCCTCCAACAGGTCCATGTCCATCTTGTGTTGGGGGCCCCAAAGCTGGATGCAGTATTCCAGGTGGGGTCTCTGCAGAGTAGAGGGGGAGAATCACCTCCCTTGACCTGCTGGCCACCCTTCTTTAGATGCAGCTCAGCATACGTTTGGTGTTCTGGGCTGCAAGCGCACACTGATGTGTTATGTCCAATTTTTTGTCCACCAGTACCCCCAAGTCCTTCTACACAGGGCTATTCTCAATCCGCTCGTTTCCCCAGTCTGTGTTGATGCTGGGGATTGCCCTGATCCGTGTGCTGGACCTTGCATTTGGTCTTTGTTGAACTTCATGTGGTTTGTGTGGGCCTGTTCCCTGAGCCTATTAAGGTCTCTGGGTGGCATCCCTTCCCTCTAGTGAATCAGCTGCACCACTCAGCTTGGTGTCATCTGCAAATGGGCTGAGTGTGCACTCAATACCACTGTCTATCACGAAGAATAATGGTAACCTCTCTCTTTACAACTCGTGCTTCTCTGCACATCTCATTTCTAATAACAGGATTTGGGACTACTATAGATATTTGGTTGATGCTGGGGTGATTATTGTGGTTGTTTGGGGATTTCTGCAACACACAAATTTGCATTATTCTTTTTGACAGCATGCTGCTCAATGAGGACTAGTTTGAGTGGCTGTATCATTGTGGAAGCATGTGGAAAGTTTCAGGGGTAACTGATGCTCTGGACACTACTTGTTTAGCACTCTGGCAGACTAATGTTAGTTTGTGTTAAAAACCCAGTTAACAATAAAAATTGAAGAACTGTCCGCGCTTGGAGGAAAAGAAAAATCTAATCAGTATAAGTTTACATAAACTTCTTGCAATTGGGATGTGGAACAGAATTACAAGAAGAGTAAGTGAGGTAGTTAAAGAGAATTAGAGAGGGCAAGTATTAGACTGATATGTAAAGTAAAAGTTTCTTCAGGCATTTTGCAACTATGACAAGATTATTCTTGGCATTTTTGGGCCAGGCTGATGTTTAGGTTGTTACTGTGGTAGAAATTTATTTAAATATTCTTTTTAATGCAGAGGGTTTCTCTTTAAGCTATGGACCTATGGATTTTAGGATCTGTATAGATTTGTACATTTATACAGATCATGTGTATCTGTAATGGATGCATAAATAATAATAACTTAGGTGTGACAATATTGTGGTCTTTACCATTCATTTGGCTTGTTTTGACTTTTCTTTTAAGTGTGCTTTTTACACAGGTATCTTGAGATAAAATACTCTTAATTTTCTCTTAATGCAACTTTTGGGTGGCTGATGCCACTGGCAGAATAAGGCTTTGAAATACCAATTAAAGCTGACCATGCTGCGACTTTTTTTGAAGTATTTTGCATTGGCTTTCAGTAATTCTCCTGTTTTGCAGTTCTCTGCATTGGGTATTTAGCTTGCATAGCTTGTGTCTTCTGAATTAACGTTTTATAATGTAGCATGTTCTCAGGCCAGGGAACAAAAGTACCCTAAATAAGTGTTCGTTCAATTTCTGAGAATGTGAACTCTGCCGACTCCTTTGAGTGTTTAGCTAATTAATTGTGGAGATAATATTGATAGTAGATCTAACTTTAAAAATGTGAAATAGAAAAAAAAAAAAAGCTCATATCCACTCTCAGTAGTTCATCAGGACTAATGTGTAAATAAACAATTGTATTTTTATCATCAACACAAGGGAGTATGGATGTGAGCTTTGAATTTATCTGCAAGGAGGGTTAAGAATAGAATCAACAATTTGCAGTACTTTCTTTGTTCTATAGTTTATTTCTTCTCTGTGTGTTTATATACATATAAATATGAATTTGCTTTAGATTGCAGCTTCTTACGGAAAAGTGATTTGTATCTTTGAGCCAGTTAGCCTCGTGAAGCAGAACAGTGGCCATCGTAATGTAAGTGATTCATCACTTCTTAATTAATTTACTTAGTTCTGAAGCCTGAAGAAAACTTATTTTTCTGGTTTGCTTTAAAATTGAAGTTTTATTTGATGTCTTTTAATGCTACAATAAAATTGAAAGGTAAGGTGGTCCTTGGAAAGTAGAAATGGTAGAAGGAAGACAGAGACATGTTATTTGAAATGCTTTTTAAAGAAATAGATTTTGCTATAATGCTTCATATTACTGATTTATCTAACCCTATAATTCATAACTGAAATATTCCAGAACCCGAAAAGATGGGCACTTTTTGAACCATCCTGGGTAGCTTGATGTCTTTTACAATTCTTATTTTGACTTCGGTTTATGAAACTGCATGATCTTGGTCAAATCTGTAACAGGTTCAGAAAGTCTGGCTTTTTTAGAATATCTGACCAAATGCTTGCTTATACTTCAGTGTTATAATAGTCAATGAGAACAATGTTTTTTCTCTTGATCTATGGCTTAATTTTGGTGACAGTGATTTAGTGAATTAGTGGCCAGAATACTGATTTCCGGCTAATAGTTTGATTTAAAGCAAATTATTTAACCATGGTGCTTACACGGAGAGGATTAGAAGTGTTGGAGTCACAGTTTGGTGATATGCGAACTTTGATGATAGTTGACCCCTTCAGACGTTTGGTTTCTCCATTTGTATTAATAAATTGTGTATAGAGCCTTGTAGTGGATTCTCTTCTCTGTACTAGCCAGTCACAGCTCAGTCATATGATTCCTTGTGTACCTGTAAACGAATGGTATTTTGTATATTAATTAAATAACTGGTATTAAATATATGTTATAATTTATACCACTGGAAAGCAGTGGAATAAAATAATGGTTAAATGTGACAACCTATGCTCATATGAAATTTTCAGAAGTACTCTTCTCTCTTTTTATCGTTGGAGCTACTGAATCCATGCTGAATGGTCTCTACTGGTTAACAGTACACTTAACTTTGAACTTCAATGTTTGTGTAGTAACTGTAGGCAGTAGGGGAAGCACTCTCCACCCATTATTTGCTTTTAAATGTTTATATTTGAAAAAGTATTTTGTTACTTCATTCTCACAATTAACCTGTTGGAAATTACTGCAATAATTTCCAATATATTTACATTGTTGTAAGATTTTCTCTGTCTTCCATTTACTAGGATGTTCAGGATCTTATCTGGAGGTAGTTATTACTGTTTTCTACCAAACTTCTGAAAGATTTAGTTGTTGTATTTTAACTTTCACATCTCTTGGTTTGATATTTTTGGAGTGGGGGATGATTACTTGAGAAATGTCTGTCTTTGTGAGTTAAGAAAAAAACATTTTGGCTCTTAATATTATTTCCAGTAATGATTTTAGTTTCTCTTAAAATTCAAGGCATCAAAACTTTGCATTCTATTATGAAAATAGACCAGATAAATATTTTGTGAATTTAATCCTCAACTTCTTCCAGTGAATGAAGTAATGATGCAAAATCTGAAAATAGTAGGCTCTCCTGTTGTATGTTAAAAAAGAAGGGGGGAGGGAAGTATCATATATGTTATCTTGACCTTATTGAAATCCTTTAATTCAACAATACTGCTGGTATCAAACACCAAGTGTATTTAGTCTATTTAATTTTTGATACTTTCTCCCCTCCCCCCCATACCCAAAAAATAAAACCAGATTTCCGTTTTAAAAAATTTCAGGTTCTGATGATGATTTTATGAACTGATTTTTTTTTTAAGCTATGTTTTAAAATAAGAAGTTAGAAACTTCTATTTATATAGTCAGATTAATGGAAAACTGCTTCGTTTAAAAATCAGAATGAATCAATTTTTATTAGATAATCAGTAATTTATTTTAAACACATCCTTCATAAAAATTGGAGGATGCAGTGGAGATGTACTCTTACTATTATAAAAAGGGAAGGGAAGGAAGAGTTTTCATATTAATGTTTATGAACGCTTAACATTTCAGACGTTACATTATCAGTGGCAGAAGAATGCTCAAATCTTACTGGAAGCCATAGCACATAATCTAACATGGGATCCCACAGGTGAGAATTTCAGTTAAAGAAACACCTATCAACTTGATATAGTAATTAATTTTTTATTTAAATTTCACTGTCCTTTGAGTACAAAGAAAAGATTGGTGTTCTCTATCATGCTAAGACAAAACAAAAAAATGAAGTGGAATCTACCTCTTCTTTCTTGTTATAGGAGAGTCAAAATATTAGGTGCATCCATTTGGTCTTAATTGATTATCCTAATCTCATCAGTATCTAATATTTAAAACCATGGCTTAAGTAGCATGTGAAAGAGGTTTTTTTTTTTTGTGAAAGAGTGATGCCTATAGTAGTTCTAGGTGTTTCTTGTAGAGAATAACTACTCTGAAAAATTACTGAATTTGCACATTTTGAGCTGTAGATGCTCAAATCAAAATGTCTTAAATGAGAATATCTGCTTGCAAGATTGAACTGCTCTGTGGTGATTAGAGGAATGTGTAAAAGGCACACTGCTATTACAGTAACTTTACTATACAAAAGGTGTTAATATCTAGTGTGTTTTGTTCTGCAGTTTCAGCTTTGCAAAACTGCTTGTTTTTCTCTTCCTTTACAGAAGTCTGTATTTTGCTACTTATCTTGTAGTTACGTTGTTACAAACATTTCTTTTAGGCACTCGCCTTTTGACTGGTTCCAGTTGTCTTCAGCTGTGGTCCAGCATCCCTTTGGAAAACCGTTCTGACAATGACAATACTGAAAGAACAGATGTTGGACATGGCGAATGGCAGTGTATCTGGCAGTGCAAGTAAGCAAATTCTTTAAAGACAAGTAATTCCTTTTTTCTTGCTGATTTGTACCTTTCAGATTAAATATTTAATGTAGTTTGGTTGAATTCCATTGTATACTCTTACTTAATAAATATTATTGATACACGATAAACTTGAATCGTATTGCCCTTGAATACATAACATTTCTTTCCTCCTACAAGATCAGTTGTAATTGGTTTTGGGGTAGTTTGTGTCTTTAGGCAGTTCTTCAATTACAATGAAACACTACTAAAATACTGAGGGAAGGCTGCTGTTGTCCCAGTAGGCTTCGTTGCTTGTATGAGAAGTAAGGTGAAAACTGTATATTTCGAAATTATTATGCTTGCAGGACTGATTAAAAGAAACTTACTTCTATGTCCAGTGTACTTCACCTTTCTTTCTCATACATCTTCCCCCTTACATACATCCTTTACTTTTTCTGTGTTTATTCTGGGTATTTGGAACTGTCACGCAAAGATGGATGCATTTTGCTTTACTGCATCTTTGAATGCTCTTTTTGTATACATGTTGATTTTAATCTTTGTGTCTGTGTGTCGGTACATTCAGAAGAGTTTTAATTTACTACTTCTGTTTATAAGAATTTAAATTGCCATCCTTCCTGCTATAGGAAGACTTTCCTAACACAACATGTGCACTGTTCACTTTGGATCACTATACCATATGGCAGGCTCCTGAAAGAAGACTCCTGATGTGGCTGCCTGGAGGGACCCTTACGTGAAATTATTCTTTATGAAGCACTTGGAATTGGTCAGGCAGTTCTCTGGATGTACCAAAAAAAGAAAAAGGAAAAAAAAAAAAAAAAGGCAAAACAAGAAAAAACCAAAAAAACTGAAACACTTTCGTAAATCCTTCGGTCCTTGCTTTTTCTGTGTACACTAACATTTACCAGGGATGTGTTTAAAATCACAAGATTATCCAAATAACAACTGAAAAATTCTCTTTTGAATACAATGAACTTTCTAAATAAAAGAAGTTGAAGACTTACTCAATTTATTGAGTCACCTTTGGACCGTCGTCTCTCAGCCTAATAAGAGGAGGAGTCAGCCTGTACCTAGGATGTGATGGGAACCTGGGACTGTGGTAGCAGTAGTCAAGATCATACAGATACTGGTTTTCCTCTGTCCCTTCAATAATATATTTTGCATCTGTATCATAAACCTTAAAAAAGTCTTCATAGGTCTCCACCTGTTTCCTTCTTTTGAACTCTTTTGTGGAGGAAAGAGAACTGAGTGTTTTATACTTTGAATTAGTAGTTCCTGTAATGGGTCAACAGCACTTGACTTGTCAGTTTATGTGTGTATGTCTTCTGGCACTTGTGGTTCAGTTAGATTTAGAATGGGTTTTTCTCGAGGAAAAGTTTCCAAGATAGTGATTTTGCAGTACTACCCTTTACCAGAATAATTTGTAATGTCCAAAGGAGGCATTCCCAAATGTCTTCGTATGAGCTCTACTAGGAGGATATTGTTAAAATGTAGCTGGAAATTTACTTTGCTTGTGGCACAGCTTTTGTAATTGTCTTCCTGTTGTTACAGCACACACTAGAGCACACACATGCTTTTTAATGACCTAATGGCTAACTTAATTATTCCTGAAAGTTAAGCCTTACATGATATACATGTTTAATGAATTCAGGATGAAAATGTACACTGCATTTTTGCTGCGCAATTAAATTCTTGTAAGTTCTTGTTGCCATTAATGAGCTTGTCAGTTAAGCAGTAGCTCAGTGCTTCAAAGCCTGTAAAAGAATATAATTTGTTGTACTTCCAAGGAAAGTAAATCACAGCGAAAATGAGCCACACAGTTGAGATTATTTTGATGTGTCATCTTTTATCAGTGTTACCATTTGTGTAAAAATTACTTTCATATCCTTCTAACTACATTATTATTTCTACACCTTTTTGTTTTCTTAAGTTAGAACTGTGGGAAATATGAGAAACTGAGGTGTTTTTCAAGTAAGTTGGAGGATAATACAGGACAACAGAAATCACTTTGAAATCCAAATGATTGTGAAATGGAAGTAGAGAGCCTTTCTGCACACAGTGTAATCTGTTAGCAGCCGGTTTTCTCTTATGATGTTTTGGAATATTGGATTCGGAATATTCCATTCCAAATTAGATTGGATGTGTTTGAAATATTGTGGCATACTTAGCTACAGCTTTTTTGTTTTCTCTTTTTTCCGGTGTGCCCGCAACCATATGTTGTACACAGGTTTACCTCGTAGTCCTTCTGGAATTTGTTAATGGACACTTGCATGTAAGAATTAAAACACTTTCATGAGTTCAAGGGGAAAAAACTGTTTGGAGTTCTGAAAAAGTTGTTAAAACTTATTTTCTATTTTTAACTGTCTTTATTTCATTATTTCATAGAACTGCTTCTCAAGTTTGTTTAATGAAATTCTCACCAGATGGGGAGTTTTTTGCTACTGCTGGAAAGGTAAGTGCTTTCTTGTAATTTTGTACTAATTCAGGTAAGGTATTAAAGCAAACAATGTAAAAACACTTATTTTTCTAACTAAGAAAAAACTCCCAACTTTTTAATGAATTTATTCCCCTCCCTCCCCCACCCCCACCCCCCAGTATTTCCAGTAATCCCTCCATGCATGTTTACATTTTAGTAAATAAGAATCTGGGAGAAAGGTAGTTCAGGGGAAACAAGACCCAGTAAATATTCACTACTGATTAAAAATGGCTATTTTGAAGTAGTCATACCAAATTATACGACGTCAGAAAGGGAAGAGTTTTGTGAACGGGGGAGATCTGTGGATGATCTCACTGCTGGATATCTTTCTAATGAGGAACTATATTTGGTATTTCACTGTTATGACACCATTAATCAAAATATGTGTAAATATATCTGTATGCCCCTCCATAGGTATATTTGTGGCCAATGTTGCGGATTAGTTTTATTAAAAGAAAAAGGTGTTTTGTCATTGTTGGTGATATATACTATGTATTTTACGTGGGTGGTGGGTTTTTTTTTTGTTGTTTGTTTTTTTTATGGGTACAAGTTGATATTTATTTTAAAAGTCAAGTTTTAAAGGATTTTAATGTTATAATATGATTAAATAATGGAAAAATTAATCTACAAATAGCTTCTATGGGCTAATACACTTGCAGAGTTTTTGACTGGAATGTCTTGTGTTCCATTTTGTTTTCTTACACCATAAACTCATGTAAAGCACAATTACTATCTACGTAGGAATAAATAGGAAGAATTACTAAGTAGGAAGTTAATGATGGATTTTTTACCCTAAATGAGTAAGTTGATTACATGCCTACAGAATCTTTAAAATGCATCTTTGTTTCTGTTTAATTTTTTATAAAAGAAGATGCTGCTCAGCAAGACAACCCTTCTTTCCCCCTAGTAGGGTCATGTTAAACATACCCAGGTTAATAAAGTATTTCAATACCATTCATATTTAATAGTGAATCTAGATTAATTTATCTAGTCCTTAAACACGTAAGGATAAGGACACTAGAAATGGGATTTTTTCAACTTATGTACATGCATGTTTACAAAAAGCAGTCTGAGTAGTACTGAGCTTCATTTTTGAGATGTCATCTTTGACCTTTGTATTCCTAACACTTGAATTTGTATGTGTAGGTTTTGGTGTTTTCCTGTCAAAGTACCATTAGTTGTATTAACATTGGAATACCAGTCAGGCCAGAACAGCTTGCATTTTTGTGGTTAAAACTGGTAGCTTATCAGAAGGAGCAAAATAAAATGCAAGTTAGTAATGGCAAGAAAGATTAGAATTAAACTCTGCTACCGTATTTTGTTTAAGATCAAGTTTGAATTTCTATTTAATGAATTGACTTTTTGTCATTGGAAAACTAGTTTATGTAGAAGAAAAACAAAAACACAGGAGACATACCCAGAAATACCTGAAGTGCATCATATTCTTATGCAAGGTAGTCTTATTTACTGTCTTTTTCTTTTCTAGGATGATTGTCTTGTGAAAGTATGGTACAATACAGACAGCTGGCGATCAGCTGTAACACCACCTGGTGCAAGCCCAGAAAAACAAGCAAAAGAAGTTGATTTTTCATTTGTTTATTTGGCTCATCCTCGATCAGTAAATGCATTTTCATGGAGGAAGACAAGTAAATTCATGCCACGGTCAGTAGTTCTAAGAACCTGAGGTTTGTAAATTGCCCAAGGAAACCCATACTCTACAGCCTTCCGGTACCTAAAGGGGGCCTACAAGAAATCCGTAGAGGGACTTTGTACAAGGGCATGTAGTGATAACACCGGGAGGAATGGCTTTAAACTGAAAGAAGGTAGATTTTGATTAAGTATTAGGAAGAAGTTCTTTACTGTGAAGGTGGTGAGACACTGGCACAGGTTGCCCAGAGAAGCTGTGGGTGTCCCACCTGTGGCAGCGTTCAGGACCAGGTTGGACAGAGCTCTGAGCAGCCTGGTCTAGTGCAAGATGTCTCTCCCTGCCTGTGGCAGGGGTGTTGGAACTAAATTATCTTTAAGGTCCCTTCCAATCCAGACCATGCTGTGATTCTGTGTACAGTCAACGGTCACACAAGTTGTATGGCTTATTTCAGTTAATAATTGAGTTTGCATAGATTGTAGGTTGCTTGTGTGTGTTTGTATAATTTTGCACACTGAAGTTCTTGAGAACATGGTAAGCATTTTCTTACTTGGGAAGGAACTAGAAAGATGGAGATGGAGACTGGTTTAGTGTTTGGAGTAAATATAAAACCGACTCTTGCAGGATTATCTCTTTGCATCTTTTTCATTGTACTTAGATGACTATTCACACATTTGATCCCAGATTGTTCATGTCTTTCTCTCCTAGTGGAATCAGAACAATTCAGAAGTCCTGTTACTTTACATCATCTTTCTCAAACATTCAGATATTTCTGTGCTTTTTTATTTATTTCTCTACGTAGTACAAAACCAGTCCTTGGTCAGAAACAGTATCTGGAAATTGAATTAAAGTGATCATTTGGAATGGATATTTTTGGTTTGATTCCACCCCTCCTCCTCACGATGATTCCTAAATGACCTATCCCTAGTTTTCACCAGTAATTGTAATCTCAAACTGAAGCTGCATTAGCAATTTTGTACCCTGCAACCATCCTTCTGCTGTATTCTTCCGAATAGTAGTAATTTGAATTCCATATACCTTTGGGAGTTTGACCAAATGGAGAAAAGTTTGTAATTTTAAATTGGCTGTTGCATATCTGGTATTACCTTGGTTTCTCCATTTTGGATGTATAATTTTCTAAATTCTATGTAGCCATAAGATCTGGGGAATTGAGAACAGGAATCCAGAGTATGATTAGCTTTTAATGTAAAGAGCTTTAAAAAGAACAGCATACATTCTGCTGTTCCAGCTATGATTAATTCTGTGAATTGAAATCCATGTTTTGGTGTTGCACAGTTGTGTAATGAAGTTTGAGGTAATTTATATTCAGATACTTGAATAGATATGAAAACCTCTCATACATAATTTGTTTCCTGAAGAATGTACTGTTGAGTTTTTCTTTTATTAATATCTTTAAGTTACTTGATGCAATTCTGAAAGTTGGTAATGGAAAACTGTTTGGAACTGTTTCTTTATTTTGATGCTATGTGATAGTAAGCAGCTTTTTCACACCTTAAATTTTCTTTCATTAGTGGTGCTGTCTGCAATGTTCTTCTGACTTGCTGTAAGGATAATGTTTGTCGTATCTGGGCAGAGACTTTGTTACCCAATGACAGTCTGTTGTATAGTGGAGGATACAACGATCGGAGTGAAGCAGCAAACTTCACAAATAACTTCAAGAGAAATACTTCAAGTAAGGAAAAAGTGCAAAATGTCTTAGAGGTAAGAAGTGAAATTGAACAATGAGAATACATACGTGTACACACGTACAATTTTAGCCAGGATTGTAATTAGTAACTCACATGGAGCATAAGCTGAAATCCTTTATACCATAGATGTGCATAGTATGTTATCAAGCAGTGAATTTAATTGAAATCTTCCTTAGGAAGGTTATGCTGACAGCCATCCTGCTGAGCTTTCAGACAGGAAGACACACTGCTCTTATGTCCCTACTGCCCATTTTACCCTGGTAACTGAAACAAAGTGCTTTGCAGTGTCTAGTTCAAAGAGCTAGGAACAGTCTGGAGCACATGCTGTGGGTTATGTGAAACCGACTAATGACGTGTGTTAGGGTCTCATTTGCTACCTCAGAGAACATCCCACAATTTCAGTCTTCTGCAGCTGAAAGAACAGTGATAAGATGGAGGAAAGACAGCCTCTGTTGCCGTGCTGCTGTAGTCCTCAAGTAGAGCAGACTGCTCAGAAGCTGTACCTCAAGTAGAGCAGACTGCTCACAAGCTGTACCTAAGGCAAATGATCTTTACCAGTTAATGTTTTCTAACCAATGGGAAGGAAAGGGAAACATTAGTGGTCTCCTACAAAGCTGTGTAGAGAGGACGTGAACATTGTGCTTTTATCTTAATGCAGTGATGTATTTAGCATGCTCATGGTGCTTTCTTAGCATATGTGGTATAGACTAAAAAATATGACAGGTTGAAAGGCACAGTGCAGCAAACAAAAATATTCAAAGAGGGGAGGGGAAAGGAAGTTGGAGACAGGTCTGTGTTCCTGTTGAAAATAAGAGATCAGAACTAATAATTACAGAAAAATGAGAAAAAACTTTTTCACATGAGCATGCTGTGGTAAGATGCAAATGATAGCAAGTGAAAAGGAATGCCAAGAGTGTAGTACATCTCTAATACAAATTGTGTACCTTTTGTTGCCTGTATAGATAACTGCAGCAGGACTGGGCAGTATGTGGAGAGAGACTTTTTAGTACTGGCATAATCAATCTTAAAAATGGAATATTATTTTTTCTTTGGAAACATGTATTTGCATAAAGGGAGGAAGATCTTAAAACTCATTGGGCCCTTATGATGGGAGTGGGAATATAGATCTAATTGGATTCAAAGTACTGTTACAGGTTTTTTAGTCTTTGAAGAGAGATTCTTTAGATTTGCTGCTTTCTTTGTTCAGAATCTTAATTAAGCATGATATGCTTAAATAAGCATGTTTATGGAACACAATAGTATTTTCTGTTTAAGTATAAAAACTGTATGAACATTGTTTGCTCACTGAAATAATGAAGCAGTTACTATGTCAAGGTACTGTATAGACCTTCATAAATGTATCTGAAGGCACTGGTACTTCTACTGTAGGCACAGCCTGAAAAGTGTGATTTTTGCTAGAAACTGTTGATGCTTTGAAGTTGCTTTTAAAATTAAAAAAATCATTCATTACTACCTAGAAAACTACTTACAGCTGAAATCTGCTTTTTCTTTTCGAAAGGAATTTAAAATGACACCTTATTCTTCATGCAGTTAAACCTGAGGCACTTCCGACGAGGAAGGAGGAGGACAGGTGCTGTTGTAGCACATACTGGATATGCTCCACATCAGCGAGATGCCCACGAAGTTCACAGGAACATCCTTCCTCATGCAAATGCACTTTGTCATTTCCATATTGCTGCCAGTATCAATCCAGCCACAGGTAAGCAGTGTGGTAAATCCTTGTTAAAGGGTGAGCTACAATTTCTACTAGGTCTATGTTGTCTGTGTAAGCTCAACAGTCTCAGATGTAAGCTCAACAGGCTCAAATGCACTTTGTCATTTCCATATTGCTGCCAGTATCAATCCAGCCACAGGTAAGCAGTGTGGTAAATCCTTGTTAAAGGGTGAGCTACAATTTCTACTAGGTCTATGTTGTCTGTGTAAGCTCAACAGGCTCAGATGTATTTGTACTGTATTTACAAGATCATGCAAAATTACTAGCATGTTAGTTTAATTTAATGCATGAAAGGACCTTTTACAGTAATGAAGTGATTTGAATGAATTTCCTCTACAGTAATCCTGTCTCTCATTTTTTCTCATCTTTAAACTGAGATTCACGGTGGTCTGAGATGCAGAAAGCTAAGTATCTGTAACTGGAGTTACAAACTTACTAGGAATTGTGTGTCATAGTAGGAGCACACTGATAAATCAAAAAATGTCCATGTTTCTTAAAATGAACACCTGACCCAAAGAGTTTTAAGTAACCTTACATGCCAGTACTTCTGTTCTGTATTTGAGCCAAGCAAAACATGCCTTCATCTTGTGTTCCATAAACTTTAATATTCTCTTGCACTCAAGGAATAGGTTGATAGGCATTAAGGAATATCCCTCTAGTCACTAATATTTCTGTCTCCATAATCGTTTGGGTATGCTGAAAGTGAAGTGCATGTCTGCTTATTGAAAAACTGAACAGAATGCAATATTGAATGGCCTTTTATTAAGATTTTACTGTTGTGATGTGATTTCCTGTGTCTAGACTTAATGAACAAATACGATGTAACCATTTTCTTAAACTAACTAAACTCTGTCTTACAGTATTTTTAAATTACTTTTTTGTTCCTACTCACCCTTGTTGGAAAGACCAATTTTGACCAAAAGGCATTCATGATTGGTTCACATTTGTAACTGTATAGCTTTTGGTATGATTAAAAAGAACTATTGGTTTCCATTACCGTTTCTGGGCTAAGCAAGCTGTAAACGCTTTCTCCTATGAGAGTAGAGATACTCTTCACCTTTCTTAGTATTGGTTCATGTTTCTGTTAACAGATGTGACTAGAGTCACACCTAGCCTTTGAGAGGAAACTTGTGCTGTCCCATCTATTATGTTTTTACATAATAGCTAAATAAACTTCAGTTTTGCTTTTAATAGTCTTTGCAATATAAATGCCCAACAGCAAACTCACAGACATTTTGGAAAAGAATGGTAAAAGTTTTTTCACACTTATCAACACTTGTCTTCAGCCTTTTAATCTTGTATTCCTTCTATGTTACCTGTATTAATATTATCTATCGTGATGCTTGGTCTTTAACTCTAGATAGGAGGATAAAAGGTTGGTTTTTAATGCATAACCTCTGTTGTAAGTAACTTTGATATTTTAAATCTTAATTTGAAGAAATATCTGTTTTCCCTTACAGTCAAGTCCTTAAGTACCTCAGTCTAACCAGATTCTCTAAGCAGTCCTTTTAGTTTGCCCTTTTGAAATTAAATTTTATCTGAAAACCTGATTGTATTTTATTTAATTTAAACCAAATTGGTTTATGCTCTCTCACTTGAAAATTTGCCCATATTACAACAGAGTACTTGATTAAAAACTAAGGTCAAAGCAGCTTTCTGTCTCATTCACTTCACTTTTAGAAGAAGAATAATGTAATCATATATAAGAATAAATGTATAATTTTTATTTGGTTTTTGTTCTCTTTCTCATTTTGAAACTCAGTTTCTTATAGCAACAAAACCCTTGAGACCTTCTTTTATACCAGAGTGTTACTTAAACTGCTATTCGTCTTAGGGTGGAGTTCAGTGAAAGGAATAAGCAGTGGTTGTTAGGACAAAATTATCTCTAGGCGAATCCAGACAAATCCATTGACTCCAAAGACCTTAAGTTTTCTAGGAAGAGTGTGATTTATGAAGCAAGAAGAAATGCACGAAGAATTCTGTCCAGAGTTGAGGATCAGTTAGAATTTGGTAGTTTTGGGGTAGGAGTATGGGGAAAAACAAGTTATTTTTCTTTTAGTGACCTTTAGGTGTATACGCAAAGTACATAGATTTGTAATCCAGTCTGAAAAGTCATCTTTCCAGCTCATCACCTTATTCATGTTTACTGTAGCTTCATCTTCCAAAGAGATGTCAACAGAGTTCTTCCCTTCACGTTCTGTTTTTGCCAAATGCATTATGACATTTTTGAGGCTGGTATTGACTGGCCTCTTTAGGAAGACAGACTGTATTTCTTAAATACTCTGTGTTCCTCTTGCCCCCTTTTCCTGATACATCCCCTTCCCACAACAAAATTGCTGCTAGTCCCAGTAGTCTTCTATATTTGCGTTCTCAGTTATAATTTTCTTAGGCTAGACTGGAGGGTAAATAATTCAAAGCCACTGTCCTGGGTTCGGCTACAGCAGGCATTTTTTCTCCTTCTTAGTAGCTGGTGCAGGGCTGTGGTTTTGACTTTCAGTCTGGGAAGAACGCTGATAGCACCAATGTTTTTAGTTGTTGCTCAGTAATGTTTTCTCTGACCAAGGACTTTCTCAGTCTCATGCTCTGCCAGGGAGGAGGGGAAGCCGGGAGGAAGCAGAGACAGGACACCTGACCCAAACTGGCCAAAGGGGTATTCCATACCATAGCACGTCATGCCCAGTATAGAAACTGGGGGAGAGTTACCCGGAAGGCCCAGATCGCTGCTCGGGTCGGGCTGGGTATCGGTCGGCGGGTGGTGAGCGGTTGTGTCCTCTCCCCTTGTTATTTCTCTTATTATTATTGGTAGCAGTAGTGGTTTCTAATATACCTTAGTTACTGGACTGCTCTTATCTCAACCCGTGGGAGTTACATTCCTCCAATTCTCCTCCCCATCCCTCTGGGAGTGGGGGGAGTGAGCGAGCGGCGTGGTTCCAAGTTGCTGGCTGGGCTTGAACCACGACAGCTATCACTGTCTTTGAAAAAATCCAAACAAACCAGGATTTGAGTAAAAAGTATTTTGTCTCCCAGGGCATGGAATTTTATGATTCATTAGTAAGGGCAGAAGGAAATAAGAATATGTATGACAACTTCTAGATGGGAATTAAATGCGGGTTGAGCTTTTGGCATGTTGTCGTATGGCTTATTTGTAGAAGTTGCAGTAAATCACCTAGCTGCTTTTTAGCCACATATAAGACAATGTTACTCTGCATCAGTCTGATACTTGTTTCTACACTTATGGTGTGATTATTCCTTTATTTTTCACAGCCACCTGGGATACCAACTGGCATAACAGGGCAATGTAAAATAGTAGTGGAATATGTAGGAATCAGAAATCCTGTTTTTATGTGATGGTGTGTTACACAGTCACTGTACTAGTTTTTGCTGGTGTAAGCCCTGCAGTAAGTGGTCCTTGATTACAGTGTATACCTACTGCAGCCTCTGTTGTGTACTAAACGTCATGAAATTATGGTTTTATTATTTGGTTCATACTGAGCTGTAGTAATAAAAGACAAGGTAAATTAACCTGTAAGACACTGTTAGATCATGAAAATGTAATAGTGCAGGGCCACAATGTAATCCTAATGTTCCACAGAGGGGCTCTTTGGGAGGTTTACATTTCTTGTGTTAGCAGTCATGCAACTTAATACTGAAGGAAGATGATGTAGATGAAAGGAAAGACAAGTGGCAGTACACTTAGTACATATTTTTCATGGTAGGGTTTCTGCTTAAAAATGAATTATTTAAAATTACTTTTTTGACCAAACTACTTGGTTTTCAAAAATGTCAACTTTTTTTTTTTTTTTTTTTTTTGATAGATATTCCTCTCCTCCCTTCTATAACATCTCTGAGTCTTGGTGAAAATGAAGAAAAAAGTGGACCTTTTGTTGTGCACTGGCTGAACAATAAAGAACTTCATTTTACCTTATCCATGGAAGTATTCTTGCAACAACTTAAAAAGAGTTTTGAGCATCATTCCCCTGAGACTAACACTGAGGAATCTAGTCAAATGGATGGCAGAACAGAAGAAGGTAAAAGTCTTATCGCGCACAAACTGCTTTCATTTTACGAAGCAACTTGTTTTGTAAGGATACAGATTACAGTAACATTTCTTTGTGTTTCCTTCCCTTACACTAGAAGTACCCAAGTGACTTTAAGAATCTATCTAGAAATTATTAATTCATTTATGGTTGTTCCTGAGATTTTGAGTTAATCATGCTGGAAACTGTAGTATTTACTGAGGCTGGCATTCAGGCCTTTGCAGGAAAGTATGTTATTTTAATATTAAGGAAGTAGGTACAACCTTAGAATTAACTTTTCTTTTTTTTTTTTTTTTTTTAGCATTAATATACACCTAATTTAAAAGACTTTAGTGTATAACATAATATGGTGATGACTGCTTTTGTTTTGCCTGTGCATGCAAAAATTTGCATAAAATGGGGAAAAATAGAAGTATTGAAGTGGAATATAAACTGTTTTGGTTTCTTAGTCATTGACTGAGGTCTGTTAGAGGATTTCTAGTTAAAATTTTAATTATTTAAAATTGTGCTTATGAATGGCTTGTAAAGGCCTTGAAAGATGCTTCAATGCCTCTATAACACTGCTTGCTATACTTACGCTTTTGAATATAATACTTACATATATGTCTGTGTTCTAGAAGTTAATGAAAATGGAGATGAACAAAAAGGAAACCAAGAAAAGAAGGAACTGGGTGATGAGAAAACTACTGCAAATTCAAGCTTTGTTCCTTTATCTTCTGCTGTTATTGACCATGAAATTGAAATACTACTTTCTGAATGGAGTAAAAATGCCGACATGCTCTTCAGTATACATCCTATGGATGGTTCACTGCTGGTATGGCATGTGGACTGGCTAGATGAATACCAGCCTGGCATGTTTCGCCAGGTGCAGGTACTTTATTTTTTGCATCAATATTTTTTGCATCAATTATGCATTACTGTTCAGTGAGAAGTATGACAAGAAAATAACTTACTCTTTCTCTTTTTTCTTAAAATTCCAGGTGTCATTTGTCTCAAGAATTCCTGTTGCATTTCCAACAGGTGATGCAAACTCTCTTTGCAGAAGCATAGTGATGTATGCTTGTACCAAAAATGTTGACTTAGCTATTCAACAAGGCAAACAAAAGCCTCCTGGCCTTACACGATCTTCATCTATGCTTATCTCTTCTGGACACAGTAAATCCACCAACAGTTTAAAACTAAGTATCTTCACACCTAATGTTATGATGATTTCCAAACATGCAGATGGGTCATTGAACCAGTGGCTAGTGAGTTTTGCTGAGGAATCTGCTTTTTCAACTGTACTCAGTATTTCACATAAATCCCGATACTGTGGTCACCGTTTTCATCTTAATGACTTGGCTTGCCACTCAGTATTACCACTGCTGCTTACAACCTCACATCACAATGCTCTAATTACACCAGATGTTGAGAATGCGAAACAGGCAAATGATTCTTTAAAGTCTCAGGAGTCACCAGTAAGATTTCAGAGTAGAGGCAATGCAAGTGTTACATCCCAGGATCCCAATGCAGTTTACAGTGAACTTATCCTTTGGAGAGTTGACCCTGTTGGGCCTTTGTCCTTTTCTGGTGGAGTCTCTGAACTTGCTCGGATCAATTCTCTCCATGTTTCAGCTTTTTCTAATGTTGCATGGCTGCCCACACTTATACCCAGCTACTGCCTTGGTGAGTTCCGTTTCCTGATTTATGCAGTGTTCTAGAATAAGAGTAATATAACCTTTTAATGCTATTAAATAGATAATGTAGATACACTTGAATGTATGGGAAAAAATGTTAAGCAAGGTCCTTCATTTCACAGATTTCCAAGCAGCTAATAACTTGGAAATTGTTTATTTCTGCATGAAGAATTGCTGTGGTGTTCTACCTTCTTTTATGTATTTGATATTTTAGGAGCTAATACAGTAAAGTTCTTAGATGCTGGTGTACACTTCAGAGTGTGTACACTTAGAAGCTGAGGCAGGTTTTGCTCTGGTGTGCAGATGGGATTCTCAGTTCATTTCATATACTTCAATCTGGTTGCTGAGTGTACCATTAAACTTTGTAATTCTTGGCAGTGAACAGAAATTAACAAGAGAATTTTTCTTATGCTGCATTGTTCTCTTTCATAACATAAAAATTGCCCTTTACAAAAAAAAAAAAAAGTTGGTGTTCGAATATTTGAGCACTTTTTGCATTCCTATTTTTCAGGTGCATACTGTAATTCTCCAAGTGCCTGCTTTGTGGCTAGTGATGGACAGTATTTGAGATTATATCAAGCTGTAATAGATGCCAAGAAACTTTTGTGTGAGCTCTCCAATCCAGAAATTTCTGTAAGTGAAAAGTTGTCTCAGGTTTTTGAAGGTTGGAACCTTACTCAGTAGCACTAATTTCAGACTTGTTGGTAAATGACTAAACTGGCTGCTAAGGATTTCATGGATTATGGTAGTTTATTTCTGCTTGTAAAAACAGGTATGATAAATACCTCTGAAACACTTGCAGTGTGAGGATTAATGACAGAGCAACAAACTCAGTATGCATGTCCATCCTAAGGAAAAGTTAAGATGACAAAGCAGCTGGGGGAAGGACGACTGCTGAATGCGAGTCTTTCCAGATGTTCTTGTCAGCCATTGAAATGTCTTTCAGCCGTTGAAACCAAATGTGGATCTTGATAAAATTGGAAATGTTACGTGTGTCCTTGGTAGATTGCAAACAGTGTATATTTAATGCTTTAGTCAAAATTTGTTTAGTGATGTTGCACCTAGTTAGCACACTATGCCACAAAAATGCACAAAACTGAGTTAACAAGACCACCTCCGTGGCTCTTTTTGGACAGAAATATGTTGGTGAAGTTTTTAACATCGTAAGTCAGCAATCTACGGCTCGCCCAGGATGTATCATTGAACTGGATGCTATCACAGAGCTAGTAAGATCTTTTTCTATACTCATTTTATACCATAATTGGCTTGTTTAAAGGGTATTAATAATAAAGGCTATACCTGTAACCCTCAATCAGGAAAAGATGAGGTATTTGAAAATTGATACTGACATAGTCTTGCTTTTAGTTTCATAGTACCTGTAAATGAAAAGAATGGGAGTAATCATGGTGCATTTTCTTGAGAAATCTTTCATTGATATGTACAAATTACCAAGTTAAAAGCTCCCATTTTAGACAGCTCCCATTTAGTATACTTCATGATGTTCACTCCTTGTGTATGTTTTCACTTCTCTTAGCATGGCAGGAAAACACAGTTATTCCATGTTTTTCAAGAAGACTTCATTTTAAATAACCAGGAGAAGGAAATACCTGAAAAGAAGAACTATTTGTCAGACTCTGGTAAAGAATTCTTTTTCTTAGAACACTGAAGACTAAGTACTATATTTTTTTTCATTCCACAAAGGAAAAAGGACTTGTTATTTATCTTTCAGCCTTTTAAGGTCAATACTCTACTTTGAGTTCTTTACATGCTAAAGGAGAAAATCCGGTCTAGTGAAACTCATGGGTGTTTCACTTCCTTTGAGTAATGTGCAACCAAATTTTAGATGAAATAGCTTAAGTCATGAGATACCCATCATGTGCGGTATTAAGCATTCCACTGCTGATACTTGTCTTACATGAGGGGGAAAGGATTTTAAATGTGGATCCTGTAATTGTAGGGTATGACATAGGCAAAGCTTATTGCATTCTTTCCTGGTGGATGTGCATTCTTTGCATCAGCTAAATACGCTTCTCCGGCCTTGTGTGGTATAACAAAATGCTTCAAAACACAACTATAAAATACAATCTAGGAATAGTGCATGGATTTGTAGGTCTTAGGGCAGACCTGAATTGCTCTGGAATAAATTACCAGTTTTCCTTAGTGGTGACGGTTAGTGGTAGTGTTATATGGGCATCTCCATTTTGTTTTGTTTTGTTCCAATGAAATAATGTGGAGAAAAGAGGTTGGAATAAAGTTTGTGATATCAAGTCATCTGTAACAGTGAAGGGAATGCTGAATAAAAGGAAGCAGAATTGTGCTAGTGTCAAAATGTTGCATAATATACGTGGTACACAATTTTTGTTACAAGGGCGACACCTAGTGAAGTACTACCTGAACTGTATATACATAGTAATCAATTCTGAATGATTTGGGGCAATAGTAATAATCTATGAAAGTGTAAACCCAACTCTTAGTAGATGTCAGAACCACAAATGGGATGTTGAAAAATAGGAACAAACAGAGAAGAAAACCAAGTGTTACTCTGCAGCATAAATTTGTTGTACCTTTGCATCTTGAGTATGAGATACAGAAAGGACTTAAAGAGAAATACTGAAGCTATTTGGTCTTAGAAAAGGGCCACCGTGTTCATCTGTATGCGTTCTAAATGTCTGCATGGGTTGCTGCTGTGTAAGAAATGGGGCTAAAGTGACCCTTTGAAAAACTGTAAACTCCAAGCGTATTTGCATGCATTCTAATTTGAAAGCATTTTTTAGTACTTTAAAGTTCTTAAGTTTTAAAACCTCTTCCTCTTTAAAACGTATAAGTAGTTAGCTCCTGTTATTTTTTAAAAAAGAACAAATTTACTTAAATTTTTCTGTAGTACTGTAAGCAGCCCAATGTCAAACCCACAGGGAAAATACAGCTTATTCTTGATCTTGTTTTATGTAGATGGTCACTAAACTAACTATTCCTTCTTGGTCCTAATGGGTTTACTTCCTGCTAGGGAAGGAGAACGGCTGGGTGCACCCTCCAGAAATGGGCTCCTACTGATATTACAACTCACGTCATCTTTTCTTGGGTTGAAGCTACAGTAAATAGTCAGTACCTCTTGTGCATTCCAGACAATGTAGTTGGTCTGGCTGGGTTGTGATCAATTAAGCCTATCCATTAGACCAGGCTGTGACTTTTCTAACTGTTGGAAGTGGCACTTCTTCTCTGGATATAACTTGTATACCTCTGGCCAGCTCACCAGCTGTTAGAGTTTTCAGTAACAGCTAGCTAAGAAACTTGTAAGAGATGAGTATGTAAAAAATAAAGGTGTAGAGCTGAGAGTACAGTCTGGGATTTGACTTTAAACTTCTAACAAATGTGTTGTCCTCTCTGAAAGATTCTCTGGCAATTCTATACCTAGTGGTTATTGTTTGTGATAAAATACTGAGAAAACTAATAAAACAGAATTGGATGAGTCAGACCATTGCATTTCAGTAACAGTTTGCAGTACGTTAATGTGTGATTATTTGCTAGCCAGCAAAATTTAGTTCTGCTTTCTGGTGAATAATCTCTAAGACTTTTCTGTTTTGAATTTCATCAGGAAACCAGCAGAATAGATTCTCTGAAAAATTCTACTTAATAGTAGTGGAGTATACTCAAAACCATTCATTGCTGCATATGTGGCATTTACATCTGAAGTCAATTCCTGTCTCAGTAGGTAAGCCCTGTTTCCTATGGTTTTCTTTTTTATAAAAAAAAGTCACTATCTCTTGAATATATATGCTAGTCAGCATATTCTGAATTGTATTTCAGTTTTTTTAAAATCTGCTTTTTAAAAACAGCTGCAATTGTTCAATTACAAGCTTTCATCACTACTTATTCTTTCTTGATTACTTCTTAATCTTCAGAATGCCGAAGCTTTTGAGTTCAGCCTCAGCCCAAAGCTTGTTATTTTTTGTGCATCCTAAGGGCAAATACATTTGTCTGGTTTCAATACAGCCTAACAGTTCAGACTGTTTGCTTCTCAGAAATTTTTGTTCTGCAATTTTTGATTTTACACAGAAGTTCTAGAATGGACCATAGTCCGAAGTACCTAAACATCAGAGGTCCAATCATAGCTGAGAACAGTTGTAAAGCTCCGACCTCTGCTAGTTCTCTTTCAGACTACCAAAGTATTTAAAAAATTATAAACCCCTTTGAGTAAGATATACTTTCCTAGTTTTTGTTAATATTAAATGTTTTAAGAAAACATAAATCGTGCGTTCGCTACTTACCAGTGGAATCTGTTAAAATGCACATTTCTGCATTAAAACCAAATTGGTATTTGTCTTACCGTTGCTTCAGTTATTTTAAGCATTATTGCAGTTACTTTGTAAATTGGTGAGAAGATTGAAGATCTAAATTTTCTGATCTACTTACACAATAAGGACGTTACTGATAAGGCGTTTCAACCAAGCTATCGGCAATTTTCATGCTCCAAATCTAAAAAATGTGTACTTCAACTGCTGAATTTTATTAAAAAAGTAATAAAGCATTTGTGTCATGTAATGTGAGATGCTACATTTTAAGTAATATTAACAAAACTTTTCTGAAAAATACTTTTCTCCAATTTGGAAGGTAATACTTTGAGGTCTTCATTTAATTTTCTCTGGTGGCAGGTATTCTGTGCTTCATGAGCATTAATTTCAGTGGATTACCACACATACAGCATTTTTGTCGGTAGTTTTGGTGTTGGTTTTGGTTGTAGTTTGGTTGGTTTAAGTCTGAGGGGTTAAAAGTTGTAACTTCTCAGCGGTTCTAGAATTTCAACAGTATTTAATCTGAGGTTTGCTAGCATTTCTCTTTAAATCTGACTTTTTAAAATTAACAATGCAAACTTTTTTAGATGAAAAGATAGATTCAAATACACCTGAATCAGCAACACAAACAGACGAAGTATATTCTTCACCAGATCTAGAGACGATCCAATCACCTTTCACTCAAAAGTATCAGGCCTGTAGAGCAAACCTTCAGAGCACCAGCTGGCTTACCCTGTCTTCCAAAATGGTATATAGTCAAAAGTTGAATTTGCCAGAAGGAGTAGAGATAATAAGTGTGAAGCCATCAGCAGGTTTGTAATGTTCTGTTTCTACATTTGTGTGGCATTTTTATTTTCTTAGAAATAAAATGAAGAATTCTTGCCTTTCTGACTTTGGTCTTAAAATTTTACCTAAAAGTTGTTTTTAAACTAAGTAATGGTCAGTTTGGTATTTGTTGTTGAAATTAAAATGCCTGTATGTGGCTTGCTAAAACTTGCTCCTCTGACTTTAAATCTTGATACTGGAACTAATGCTAAAATAAAGATCTTATTTAAGGTATAATTTTTATTTAATTCCAGATATTGTAATAAGTGGAATTATATAACCACAAATTTGATTTTGCAGCCACTTGTGAAATTATTTGTAGGATCAATACTTTAATTATAATGCTTCCACCAGTGGTCCAAAAGTATAAAGATATATGTATTTTATAAAGATTTTTAGATTTCTGAATAGGAAATGTTTGTTTGGGAGTGCTTATAGAGATTAATATTCAGATTTAAATCATATAATTTGACTCCTGTCTAGAGCATGAAATAGTGAAGGGTAAAGGTTTCATAGTACTTTTTTCACACTGTTTCCTTTGTGAGACCCTGCAAGCAACCTTCTTTTTGAGGAAGCAGTTATAATTTTTTTGTTTCAGAATAATAAAATAACTGAATAAAGACATCTCTACTGTTTTGCTTGTCTTTTAATATTTCCCCCAGTAAAAGTGTATTTTATTTAATTTTAGGGCATCTGAGTTCTTCTTCCATATATCCTGTTTGTCGTGCACCGTATCTGCTGGCTACGTCATGCTCTGATGGAAAAGTTCGATTCTGGAGATGCAGGGTTACTACTGAATCACTAGCTTCTTCCATGCCAGAGTGTAGTGCACAAAGTGATGTCACTTATGTATGGGAAGAATGGCCATTACTGATTGAGGATGGGCTTCTTAGTAGTAGTGCTATAAATGTTCCAGGAAGGCCAACTGAAGTTAGTTGTGCGCACACAAACAGATTAGCAGTAGCATATAAGCAGGTAACATCTAAAAATAGTAATCTTTCTCAAGATTCTGTAATGCATGTTAGTATTTTTGAATGTGAATCTACAGGGGGTTCTTCCTGGATTCTAGAACAGACTCTTCATTTAGATGAGATAGGCACCATATTAGACTCAGGTGTTAGTATTGATAATAATTTAGTGGCATATAACCGACAAGATGTTTCTCTGTCTCATGGTTCGAATATTATGCCCAGCACCAAGCACTTGGTACACTTAGACTGGATGTCTAGGGAAGATGGTTCACATATTCTAACAGTGGGAATTGGATCCAAACTTTACATGTTTGGTCAGCTGTCTGGGAGAATGCAAGAACAAAATAGTAAGGAGATTGTAGCATTCTCACATAGTGGCAGTGTGAAGGCTGCAACTCTTTCTGGGTTTGTTCCACTGCGCTGCGTTGACTTGGTTTCTTCTGTAGAGGGGTCGCCTCCTTTTCCAGTCTCCTTGTCTTGGGTGCGTGATGGCATTCTTGTAGTTGGAATGGATTGTGAAATGCATGTTTACTCCCAGTGGCAATCTCCTTCCAAGCAGGAACTAGTTAGTACAGATTCCTGCAGTGGAAGTATGCCATCTGTAACTGGCTTAATGAAACAAAGCCTGTCAGCCATCTCAAGTCTGCATCCGCCAAAGCGAACGTTGACCAGATCTATGACCAGCCTTGCACAGAAACTTAGTGGGAAAAGATCTGCCTATGATCTTTCTACAGAAATGGAAGATTCTGGTCTTTTTGAAGCAGCTCATACATTATCTCCCACTTTACCTCAGTACCATCCATACCAACTGTTGGAACTCATGGATCTTGGTAAAGTACGTAGAGCGAAAGCCATTCTCTCCCATCTGGTGAAGTGCATTGCTGGAGAAGTTGTTGCTATAAATGAATCTGAACCTAATCATGATAAGAGGCTCAGGTCTCTGACTATCAGTGCTAGTGGAAGTACTGCAAGAGATCCCAAAACATTCAGCAAAACTGAGACTACAGACTACATTGAAATAGACTCTGTTCCACCATTGCCTTTGTATGCTCTGCTTGCTGCAGATGAGGATTCATCTCATTCTTGTTCAGAGAATTCTAATAATCAAAATAAAAAAGATAAGCCTAGTGACAATTATGAAGATCTCTTTCAAAATACTGCTATAAGTACAGATGAACTAGTTACATTTGATGCAGATGAAGACAGTTCAAAAGTCATTGATCTTTCTCAATATAGCCCAACTTACTTCGGACCAGAGCATGCTCAAGTTCTTTCTCGTCACTTGCTTCATTCAAGCTTGCCAGGTCTGACTAGAATGGAGCAAATGTCATTGATGGCCTTGGCAGATACAATTGCCACTACCAGTACTGACATTGGAGAAAGCAGAGACAGAAATCAGGGTAAGCTGTCTCTTCTAAGTTAAATGTCTTAGTGTGCTTCACAACCTTTTGGGGGAGTTTTTACTATTTTGGAGTGGTTTTGTGGCTTATGAAAATATGTCATTGATTCATTACTTAGTATAATCTATATTTACTGTGCCATCACAGTATTTGCTGTTTAACTAAAGTTTCAAGACTTTGGACTTTCATACAATCAAATTTTGCACTGCTAACTTTAATGCGAGTGTTAGTAAATTAGTCCATAAATATTTCTAATTCACTTTTGAAGAGACAGCTTTCTTAATAGCCAACGTTTGTTGCACTATGTAGAGAAACAGAGAAATAAATTTATGGATTTGTTTATAAAATAACACTTTGTTTTGTGCGTTAAGAACAAATAACTTCAAAACTTTGACATTTTCTTCTTTCCCATTCTTTGAAGGGAAAATTTTTAAATTAAGCTGTTATATTTATGAATTTAAAGCGGTAATAGTCACAGAATTGTAAAGTATTTCTTCTTTTAAGACACCCAATAGCTACTTCTACTAGTTTCTCTAAAGTGCTTATAAAGATTCTTAATTCCAGGTGGAGAAACTCTTGATGAGTGTGGTTTAAAATTTGTATTGGCTGTTCGGCTTCACACATTTCTGACAACTGCACTTCCTCCTGTACATCGAGCTCAACTGCTTCACCAAGGTAACTGATGTATTTTCTTAGGTGAGGTGAATTTTAGTGACATAGATGTGCATATTGTACATATCATTGCTCTGCTGTTGACATGCCTCTGCAGAATCAGTGAGTTATTTTGTTGGGTTTTGTTCAATATGAATATATGACAAAGCAGAAAATGTCTGGTTTATTTTACATAAAGTCTTGGAACTTTGAACTTTGGAACTTTGGTCCTTCTTTACCCCCCTCCCCCCACTTCTCTAACAGTTTCTTAGTTTTAATTTTTGTTTCTATTTCCCCAGGAGAAGTATAGAACTGTTCTGTATTTCTAGTACCATGTTGTTCCAATAACACTCTGCAGAAATAATGTAGTAGAAAATAGAGTACATATTTACTTAGGTTGTTAGTACATACTTGGAAAAAAAAAAATCTGACAGTCTACCAGATTTTAAATGTCTTTTCATATGCATACTGGAATTATCCAAGGAACTATTTCAAATAGTATTCTTTTATATAGTTTTAAGTAGTTCCAACCTGATATTGCAGACATCAGAATGAGATGGATTTCATTAGGCCTAAGAAGTCTGAAGGACTGGCTGTAATTACTTCTTTAACCTTTCATTGGTTGTCATTAAAGTTGATTGCACTTCCAGTCTCGGGCATGTCACCCCTCAGCTGCATCAGAGATAGGAATTTGCCTGGACTGCCCCAACAGAGCACTGCTGAATTAGCTCTCTAATGAAATACTTTTAGTTGAGATACTTCTGCTTCTGGTGAGCTCAGAAATTGTCAGGAGTAAGAAGTAACTCCAAGGCATCTGCGGAAGTGCAGTCGAGTGTGACTCTGTGTAAAGAACCTGTCCCTCACTACAGTTTCATTTACCCTTAGCCAGCTACGCTGCTTTCTCATGGGTTTTTTTTTTCTTAGTTTTATTTTGTATCTGTAGCCTTAAAACTGTTTTCTATTGTGATCATCTGAAACTTTGCATTTTCTAATCCAAGAGTCAAAATTGTGAATCTACCTTTCAAAACTTTGAAAAGCTTAATCAGTATGTTGCACTGTGTATTATGGCTAATCTTAATGTCACCCACTATAAGTATGTTTTGAGCTTCCGCCAGTAACTCTGTTTTTTGCCAACTTCCATAGAGAGTTTACAAGTGAAAAAATGTTTTAATCTGTATAAGCTTTCTTTAATAGGTGGTATGCAGTGCTTAAAAATATTCTTAAATATCTGTTGCCTCATCTGCAATGCACTTAAGTCTAAATTAAGCACTTCAACCTTCTTTCCTTCTCCCTTTCCCACCCCTTTGACTTCATATTCTCCATTATTTTATTAGTAACTCTTCTTTTTAATGGCTTATTATGTAGGTTTATCTACTAGTCATTTTGCCTGGGCATTTCATTCAGTAGCAGAAGAGGAACTCCTGAGCATGCTTCCTGCAGTGCAGAAAGGAGATCCAGCATGGTCAGAACTCAGAGCGATGGGTATAGGATGGTGGGTTCGGAATATCCACAGCCTGCGGAAATGCATAGAAAAGGTGAACACAGCATTCTGAAACAAAATTGCCAAATGTATTTCAAGCAGTTCTCCTCTGGCATTTACCTTCTATTTGTGTGGGTTTAAATTGTTAGATATGTTCTGTGTTTTTAAATATTTTGGGCTGTATTTTGTTGTACATATAGTTTATTTATAAAAGTATGAACTTTTGTGTGTAACTGTTTTTTTAGTACTTTAGGTTTGAAATCCAGTGTGAAGTATATTATGGGTTTCTAGATATTCCATTTCAAAGGTGGCAGTGTACAGTGCTTATTGTGGATGCTCAAGGTACAGATTGAGCATATAGTTGTTTTTATAGCAAATTTGGGAAAATGTTTCTCCTTAGAACCTTGCCAGAAGTGGGGTCAACTAGGATATTGGACATCTCTCTTGCAAATCGATACATTTCTGTGGTAACAAAGCCTTCTAT